GAGTGATTTTAAAAATTTTACTTACTTGTAAAGTAGCCCTTTTTTTGGGCATAAAATACTCCAAGGCCACACAATGCCATTACCAGAGCCACAATTACTACAGCAGCAATGATACCACTGACGTTAAGGTCATCTGCAATTACAAAACATAAGTCCAATGTTGTAGGTAGTAACAATTTCCATTGGCTGGATTTTTTTTCCTCCGGTTACTGCAGGCACCCTTTGTATCTATAGGTGGTCTTTGGCCCAAGTTGGAGAGGTAAATTAGTAACACTTAGATGTAGATAAGCATCCAAAAGCACAATGGTATCACAGGCACATTCACAGGAGTGCTCGATACACTTCGACTGCTCCCTTTGGGTCAAAAGTAAGGAAAGAACAAGAGGGGTCAAGGGATACAAACTCCCTATTATACTTAACCCCAGTAAGTATTAGTCCTATGTCTCTAAGGGAAAATATCTTAAAATCTTTAAGAGTTTAGAACAACTGTTTTCATATAGTTTGTCTAAATAGCTGAAATAGCTCCTGGCAATGTCAGGTCCCAGTTTTGAAGAACTCTTCAGGTCAGTTATTTCAAATTCAATGCTTTTTTTTTAATTTTTGGACACCAATGCTTTTAAAATCAAACACAATAAAGGCCAACAAAATATTTTAGCCCAGATGTCTGAAGTTAAGCTCTACACTGTGCTACCAAACCATCTAGCTATTTTTATTGTGAAGGTGGTGAGCCCTGTTCACTTCCTGATATAATCACTAAGAGCTTCAGACAATCATCCATTTCAGGAAAAACAAAAATATCATTAAGCAGAAACACTTTCATAGGATTTGTTACACATCCAATTACTTATTTGGATCCTGACTTTAAGCATGCATTAATATATGGCTGTGAATTTTACCCCCAAACCTATCAATTTTTGTTTGAGCACAATTCAATTCACTGGTTGAGCACAATACAGGACTTTGTTGAGGATTTTCACAGAGGGATTCTATCTTAGTAGCTTGTGGGAGGCTTGCTCATCATCAGTGATGAGTACATGAAAAGAAATGTTACAGTGATTTTTGGCTAAGTTCTAAAGAAAGTAGCCACAGCAACTACATACAAAGAACTCATATTATTATTCTCTCTATTATTATTCCTCCCCCAAAATGCCATAATCAAACAGATATAAGTCACTGGTCTTAGCTTCTCAATTGCATGATGCAATAAAATAATTGCAAGACTGTTTTCTGCCCTTATTTTCTGGGCACATACCAACTTGCATTCTCTTCACTGAGCATTTCCGAGACAATCCAATCCCATTGGAGGCTTCACAGAAATACTCTCCGGTGTCGTTCTTTGTAACTGTGTTAAACAGCTGTTAAGAAAGAGACCAAACCCATTATCAGAATGGAAAAAACAAATTGGAATTTCCTGTGGGAAAAGAAATTTTGACATGTTATCAGGGATTTTGGTTGGTGGGTTTTAAAGGAAAAAAAAGCACACCTGAAAGAAAGAGAAATTCTGGTCCAGTTTGACCCCATAATTCATTTCCCTAGTCACATTCCCTTGGCCTTGCTTCAGCTTCTGGACTATAAGGGTCTTTTTGATGGATATTTTAACTAGATGGAGTTAATCTACAGTGAGATTTTTTTCAGTGAATCAGTGCTTTCCAAGAAAATGCATTTTCTTAGACCTGCTTTAATTCCAGAATCCCTGAAATCAGAACATTTTGTTCATTTTCACCAAAACAACAACAAATAATCATGTGCTACAAAAACTATTTCCCACAGAAAGTTTGTGTTCCCCCACTGTAGTGGCACTTTCTTCTTCCAATGCAGAAATGCTAAACTGCACTATTTATCAAATACTATTACTGTAAAAATGAAAATGAGAAAGTGAGAGGCAGAGACTGACCTCAAGTCAATTCCAGTATTACTCTGTATTTATTTTTTAATCATTGGACTTACAAACTTTCTTCCCTTCAATATATCCAACACCCATAAGATTTTCAGAAGGGATTAGTAATTTTGAATAGTCCACAGAATCTCCACAATATGCTGAAAGATCCAAAGTGCCTCTGAACACTTAGCCACATTTCAATTTCCATGTTGGATCATGCACAAGAGTGGGGTGCTCCTAGAACAAGTCTTTACTTCTGAAAAATCTCAGCTGACAATACATTGTAAGTAGTTTGTATCGTAAGGAGTTTGTATCTTTTTTGGGGTTTTTTTTTTTTTTGTTTTTTTTTTTAGCTAATGGGGAAGAGATAAGAAAAAGACAGCCAGTTCTGAGGGGAAGGAAATAAAAAAAACCCAAACAGCCACAAAACAAACTACAACTAAAAGAAGAAAACACTAACCTTACTTACAGCCCTGACATTCTTGACTTCACAAGGGTGATTGGACCTCGTAAGTGCCACCAGATTGCACACTGGACTGCCCCCAGTGCCCTGCTGAAGTGTGTGAAGTTGCCATTTCAGATTTCAAAGTGCTACGAAATATAACTCTGCTGACATACTGAGAGATCATTCTCACCTGGCACTAGGTAGCTAACTGACAAGGTGAAGTTGTCATGTATTTTCTAGATTCTGCTCATTTATCATTACTGCAGCCTTACAAGTCATCCAGTTTGCCTGTATCACTCAACACCTACAGCTTGTCATTGCACTGAGGCAGAAACCACCTTCTACATTTGTTAGTGTGTATTTCAGCATGACATTGATCTCCAGCAAAGACCTGGCATGTTTTTGGGCTGAGACCCTTGCGCACCATTGTACTGAGCAGTAAATTGGGTCTTCCTGAGAGCTGGTTATGAAGGAGTTGATTATGACACTTACCAGAGTGCCAGACTTCTTATTCATAGTGTAAGTTACGTTGGCTGCTCTAGCACTGCCTGCTCCTGTCTTTTCCAGCAGGGCGACGCCGTTCTTGTACCACTGGTACTGGGAGGGAGGCGACCCCTCCGTCTCCTTGCAGCTGAGCTCCACCACGGTCCCCGTCATGGCAGAGCTGGGCACCTGGCACACCGGCGTCGTCGGAGCCACTGCAGAAGGAAATGGCACCTGTCACGGCCTCGTCAGCCCCGCCTCTCTGGCAGCAGTCTGACAGGCACTGGCAAGGAGGAGGCGGGCGCTTGTGTGCATGCTGAGAAACCACCGCGGTAAGGAGATGAAGTGCTGGAGAAGGGCTCGGAGGCAGACTCCTGCCACTGGAAAGCACAGTAAAGTTTGTGAGTTGCTAAAAATGGAAGCAAGAGGCTTGATCCCAGCCTCCCCCCCACCTGCTGTGTCATCCTGCCTCCGGTCTATACGCTCACATCCAGCCCCTGAGAGTTCGTTGCACCTTGTTTCTTGTATGGGCTGTCTTGCTCACAGACAGAGGAGGGGTAACTCGGGGATCTGTAGTCCAGCAGTTTCCCCCTTCCCTGCCCCAGGATTTAAAAACTAGAGCAAGGAAGAGGAAAGACTTTTTTTTTTGGTATTAAAAGACAGGTTTTTGGTCAATTGCTTTCTGAAAAATGATTGTCAGAAAGAATTACAAAGACTGGTCATCACCACAGCCATTGTTATCTATCCCAGGTTGAGGACAAAAACCAATTGGCTACTAAATTTCAGTTTAAATTAAAACCAAACATATCCACGCACAGATGCGGAACTGATTGTTCCTTCTGCCATGAAGATGAATGTTTCTTTTCCAATTTCTATTACATGAACAGAATTTTTTTTTTTTTTTTAACTTGAAGCTATGTAGAAGAAAAGAAAGGGTAAAGAGCCATGCATAAAACATTAAAAGCAAAAGTGACACCTTAGCAAGTATTTCTACTTTTTTTTCTTGGCTGATTTTAGAATACGAAGCAAAAAATAAAGAAAACCAAGTGAAGTACTAACTAGTTCACATTAATTTTCAAAAATATTTGTGAGCAACACACACTCACACCCACTCTCCTTTGGGCTCTGTGATTTCAACTTTAAATTAAGAAGACTTTTTTTAAAAAATTTTAAATTTAAAAGAGGAAAGCTATTGAGAGAGTGGAGGAAAGAAGGAATAAGTGGGGCCACCTCATTTTTGGAACTAATCAGAAGTTCATTAATTTATCATCCTTTATTAAGAACTTTGAGAGTTTATATATTCTAGAGATCAATTAATTTTGTATAGGAAAAAGACAACAAAAGTAAATATTTTCTTTTCTCCCTACACAGAGAAAAGAAGAAAACTGCCAACCTCTACTACTCATCCACTATGGAAAACACCAGGAACAATGTAAGAAGAACGTGGTCGGTATTCAGTTTTCCCCTCCTTTCCCTAACTAAGAAAGAAAACAAACAAACAAACAAACAAAAAAATCAAAGAACAACCACGCCCCAAGAACCAACATGGCCTCTCCTGTAAATAAAGCCCACAGGCTGCTATCTCACTGGCTGGCATTGCCTAGACACTGCAGCAGTTTCTCCTTCCAAAAACAGGAGGAGACTGTAGCATATTGAAGTGACCTGCTGCTTAGGAATATTTGATAAGTGTTGACAGATGCTGACTTTCCAGTGCCAAACACCATGATCATCTGGACCCGATTCTCAGCCACACAGTGACTTCAGTTTTAAGAGGAATAGAAGTCTCACCATCGCATAAATCAGCATACTTGCTAAGTTTTGAGAACTGAAACCCACATAGTTCTATTCCTTTCTAATGCAAGTGTGCATTTTGCAAAGCTCTTCTGTGAAGTATGTTGTAGAGTGAGCATGTGCATGTGTTTATAAACCCAGCCCAAAGAAGTCTCAAAGATGCAGCAGCCACACACCACATGGGCAACCCTGCCTTCAACACCCCTTCCCGTCCTTCAAGTTCCTTACAGAAGCCCACGTAATGAAGTTTGTACCCAATACTGTGAGAGTAATAGTAGCCTCTCCCAGGCGTTGTCCCTCTTCACTCTTTGCACTGATTTCACAGCGGTAGGTCCCAGAGTCCTGTCGAGTCACATTTCTAATAAGGATCCCTGTGTTCAGCATCTCTGCTCGGCCTCGGAGATCACCTTTAAAGGAGAGAAGGCAGAGACGTTTCTCCTCCCTGCTTGTACCAAATGTCTGTGTCTCAGTGCCTTGTTCTGAAATCATGCACCATTTACAAACTCTTGCTCATTTGTTCAGTGATAGCTATCTGTCACCAAGGAGCAATGTGCAATGTCTCTCCCAAGACAGTAAGGGCCTTCCACAACGTGTCCATTTAGTTAAAAAAAAAATAAAGCCCCTCACTTCAAAAACCTACCTCTGTCATGTATTTTCTAGTTGGAAGATGGAATGCTTTTTCTTCTGCAGATATTTCAAGAAAACATGTATAGCAGTAGTCAGGTGACAAAAAAAAAATTTTTTTTCTGCTAGCTTAATTACCTTACACTTTTTCACTAACTTAATTACCTTACAGAAAAAAATTGTGAGACCACAACAAAGTATTTGACGTTTTAATTTAGCAATAAAGCTTGATGGATTTAGCAAAGATACTGCCATCAGACTTCTTAAAATGAGATTCTTTTTTCATTCTACAGCTTGTTATGAAATTAAAGTTACACGCATACACAGAACTGAGAGTTTCAGTGTTTCTTTAAATATATACGGAGAAAACCCAAGTTCATCAACAAGACTAACACATCTTGCAAACTCTACAAACTAACAAAACCACTATGCTTTTGTTTTACCTATCAACCTTCAATCATTGTGTACAATGTGCCACAGACCTTAAAAACAAAGCTGAGGTCAATCCTTTTCAGAATATAGAAACAGAAATTCCACTTCTAAAAAGAATATGAACAATTTAAAATATAAAGCTGAGTTTATATTTTATGTATATAAAAATTGCTGCATTATTCATATCTAAGCTTCCAGTTCTGCAGGAGTCTTCAGAAACCTCTTTGAAGGATAGAATTGCAGAGCTTGCAGTAGTTTTGAGGAGTTTAGATCTAAATGTAATTTCATTTGTGAAATACGTCAAGGAACATGCAGTGCCATTTTTCTTAGTCTTGAGTTTTGTATATTTAAATTAATTTTAAAAGTAACTAATCATTGATGATATGATTAAGACATGCCTTTCCACCCCTCCACTCTCCCCAAAGACTTCTTTTCCTCAAAAGGAGAGCTGTTCAGTAGGGATAGTCAAGAGCATTCTTTTTAAGTAATTTTCCTGATGTTTTTCCCCAAGATCATGTCGATCTCTATGCTAGAGAATGACACGTTAAATCACCAGTTTAGGTTTGTAGTACTGTACCTGTAAATTCACTGTTGTAGTAGACAAATGAGACTCCTTGAGACTGGATTTTCTTCCATTCTATTCTTAAGCTCATCCCTTTTGAAAATTTGTGCTTGCAACTAAGAATAGCCTCTAGAGGGGGGAAAAAGAAAATAAGGCAAAAGGGAAAATTACAGACTTCAGCATTGTGTTCTGTATGCATTCAGGCTCCATGAAATTAATATTCCCCCTTCAAAAGAATTTGAGGAGTCAGCAAGGGCCAGATCTACTTCTCAAAGTGATGCCAGACCGTCTCCAGATTTATGCAAACACAGTGGCGAATCAGAAACTAGTTATTTTCTCATACTTCTGTGGCTTTTGGATCAAACCTCAGATGTTGAGAACTAGATATTCCCATGCTCGAGGGGAACAGATTCTGTATTACTACCCTTATTTTAGATTTAAATATTTTAATCAGCGAGTAGACCACCGTTAAAAAAAGGACTCTGAGCCTGTTATCAACAATATTTTGTGAATTACTGTTCTGAATTCAGTATCAGTAGCTTAACTGTTTAAATTTATAAATTAATGCAAATGGAAAACATACCAGTAAGATGGTTAAATATTCTCCCAAGTAACTTACACACATAGTTACAATTTCACATTAGTTATTGTAAGGGTAGCTGGAAGGTAAGAGTCTGCTTCATTAAGGCTTCCCAAACAAGCACTTTTACAATGTAGAAGTGATAACAAGTAAAGGGATTAGCTACAAACAAAAACACAGAGCCACAAACATGACAGACAAGGACTAACAGAGATGATGACAAAGACCATCAGTCTCCAAACAAACCGATGGGACCGCGGTGTGTGCAGCTGGAGCAAGCGAGGGTCTCTGCAGCAGTAGCTGGACTGGCCACAGCTGAGTGTGTGTTGGTAAATCTCAAAGCATGTGTGCCTGGAATGCTGTCAGGGCAGAGAGCAGCAGCCTGAGTAAATTTAGGGCCAGCACCGAGGGTGAAACTGGGGGTGTAGGCACCCCTGGGCTTGTAGTGCTGGCTTCTGGAAGCCAGGGGGTGTGAGGTGTGTGCAGTGTTTGCATCTTCCCTAAACTGTGTGTGCCTGGAGGTGTGCAGTAATTCACTAGCCAGCCTCGAGCTGGGCAAGCTGCTGAGCTGGGCAGGGGTAGCGGGTGGGCAGAGGAGCTGTGCTGGTACTCAGGGGACCCAAGAAGGTGCTTGTGAATCTTGAGTGTTGTGTGAGGGCTTTCACCACTGACCTGCAATCTGCACCAGGCAGAGAGGAGGAAAGAGGCTCTGCTGCATACACTTTATGTGAGCGCAGACAGTGTTGTACCTGGGTGCTGTCGACAGCAGCACCTTGTCTGTGGTGGTCTGTGGGGCTGGCAGTGCCAGCTAGACATACACACAGCCTTGCCACTGCTTGAACCTCCATGTTTCTGCCTGGAACAAAGACCCCCAGGTCTCCAGATGCATTGGGTTGGGCTCCAGTGGCCAAGCAGGAGGAATCCCCAGGCCCCCAAAGCTGCTGACGGAAGAAACTGCTCATAACATCCCTTGGCAGTTACTTCTTATCTTTCTGGAGTTCTTGAGAGAAGAAGGTTCATACAATTGTTCACCTTTCTGTCTGTCCACTCAAGTTTCCCTGACTTATGTGGATATCACCAACCAAATTTCCCAGAGAGATTGAAATTTCAGGAGCTACTGATTATTGCTGAAGTTGCTATAACTGGGTAGGAGACAAACTAAAATTAGTGCTTCTAATGAGAAACAGGTCCTAATGGAAGCTGAACTGTTCTTTTTACCTCTCTCACAGCAGGGTATCAGAATATGCTACCACTAATATGTAGCTTGCCTGACAGTAATTGTGGTCTATGGTCAAGCCTATAAATATTATGGGTGAACTAAAGAGGGAAAGAAATTATGACAAACTGCATAGGTGAGTTATTTGGGTCTACTACAGACCTCCTGATCAA